CTATGTTGATGTTTACCTGAAAAAAAAAGGAAAATGTTTTTATTTTAACTCCTTCTACTGATTAATGTCCTGCTCGTTTTACATTGTCAACATCTGCTTCAACACCATTATATTATATTATATATATTGTATGGATAAAATAGGAATATGTAGCTCTGGTACTGTGAATAGACCACAGGCCAGGGATATGAAACCTTAAATGTGTAAAAAATATAACATATAACACAGGTATTTTATAGCTGTACTACAAATGCAAAACTATCTGTCGTAAAGAAATTAATTTGAAAACAGAGTTACTCTTTTGAGTCCTCAATATTTGGATTATTATCGTTACACTCGTCTGCAGGCTGTCGTCTGTTTACTGTCTATATGACGAAGAATATAACTGTGTTATGTTACTACAGTAATGTTATTATTACTGTAAACAGATGTAAATGATGCTTCCAATTCCTTTGACTCCAACTACGTACCTCATTAAAGTGAGACCACATCAATTCTGAGTGTTTTCTGTTCATGCTGCAGATTTGGCAGTGAAGCAGACGTCGAACTACAAAAAATCTAACTTTTTAACATCTTAATGTTAGACTAAAATCTTTGAGTTCACATTCATTCTTCTCAGAAATTAAAAATGTAAAGCTCCAACAATCACGGCCCTGCCATGAGTTAAAAAAACGGTTTCTCTCTGTAGCCACAGGGTGGCAGTAGCAGTGTTTCCTCACAGCTGGACGTCTGAGTCTCAGTGAGCTCAGCCTCTGCATCAGTGCAGCTGAAGACTGTGCTGCTGAATTCCTCTCTTTTAAAAATAGATGTGTTATTTTTTTTCTCTCTGCTGTTGCCCTGGAGAGCTCCAGTCGGGGATAAGAGCTTATTCTGGTGGTTGGAAACAGTGACTGCAAACGCACTCACTCTCTACTCAGTATCAAGTGTGTCAGACCTGCACTGTGCTGCAAACAGTGTATGTCTGTGTCCAGCTGTGATCTAGTTTGTTGAGCCTCAGTGGGATTACAGGCCAGATTAGGTAAAGGAGTAAATACCAGTCAGTCTGAGCTCAAAAATCAACCTCACTTTTTAATGTCATTTCACGTATCGGCTGCTTTAATACCAGAGGGCAGTTAAGAAGTTAAATAAAATACACAGTATGATAATCAACAAAATGTTGTATTTTGAACAGTAACATTCTTCTGTTAACATTATGCTATTTTAATATTATAAGCAACGATAATCAACACCACTCAACACCATTTAGTGACGTAAGAGGTTGAAGGCATTTAAGACAATCAATCAATCAATCAATCAATCAATCAATCAATCAAACTTCAACAACAGAAACTCTGTCAAAATGATGTTGTTAAACTTACTGTTGTGTGACGGTGACGATGACATCAAACTTGATTTTGCGTCCCCTCCTTTTTGATGCAGCTGGCTGGAAATAAAAGACTAAAATCACTCAGAGTGGACTGTATTTAACTATGACTAATCAAAGGACGCTACAAAAAAAAGGTTTATATCTGTCATGTTTACAGAAGGATGAAGACCAGATGTTCATGAAGTCGTCCTCAACATTTTCTTTTTACAGTTTGTGCCTGTTAATAATCACCCAATACATAAAAAAATTAAAAATTAATTTAAAAAAAACAGTTCAGTGTTAGGACCAGAAGAAAGTTGCGTCGGATGCGTTTCTTAAAAAGCTGCCCCCTGCAGCACAATAATATTACTGCAATTAAAAGTGAAAAATGAACTGATTTTAGAGAATGTCTGTCGTTTCAGTCAGTCAGTGTCCTGGTCTTCTCTCCACAGTGTGTGAAGATGTCAGTTCTTCCTCAGGCCTAATTTTCAAACCTTAACTTGTGATGCACAAAAGAATCTTTGTTCCTACCTCTGCTGCTGTGTCTCTGGCGTTAACCTGGACTCTTTAGAGGCAAAGCCTTCAACCCCAGGTGAGTCTGGGTTTGTTGAGCCACTGCTGAGTCTATCACTGCTCTCATAGCCAGACTCTGTCCTCTGAATGGTCCAGGTCTCACTGTGCAGCAGCGTCTTTGGACCACCTCTAAGTTTGCTGCACTTCTGCTGGCTGGTCTTACTCTCCGACTCCACTGAGCTGTGGCTCTCCGTCTCGTGCCTCAGCTCGTCCTCGTAAATTGTCATCAAACACTTCTGCCTGCGATCGTCTCTGCTTCGTAGAAATTCTCGATCGCGGCCTCGACTTGGTTCAGGGTGCGTCCTGTCCTGAGTGGAAGGTTTGCTGCGTCGGGGGCTGTCCAGCTGCTGCTGACGCCGCTGCTCCAGTTCGTTGAGTACGTTGTCCACATTTAACACCTCCCTGATGGGTCTCCAACTGGACTTGGATTTATTGTGACTTGAGCAACATTTGTCCCACTGCTCCGGACAGCCGTCCTCATCGGGGTGAGTCGGGGAGGTGTGGCATTTTTGGTTCTGTCCACTGCCCTGCGTGCTGGAGGACTGTCCGTGGAACTCGTGAGACACTCTGCCTGAGTGGTTGAGGAGCTTCTCGGTCCGAGGGTGGTTTTTGATCTTGTGGTCCACGCAGGGCTTCAGTCCGTTCTCTGAAGAAGATGAAGATCCTCCGTCAGCCATCTCTAAAAAAGCCGCCGAGTAACTTTTCAGAAACTTCACATTCTTACTTCTGGAAAATCAGTGCTGTACCTTTGTGTTTCATTGGCTCTGTTTTCCGATGCCCTCTCTCTTTTCTGGACGTTTCCCCTGACCTCTGCAGGTTCTCCAAAAGCGGCTCCTGGACGTTGTTGGCACAGCCGAGAGGATGTTTTCCTGAGAAGAACAGAAGTCACAGAAAAGAACACAGTACTTCAGTGGACTGTGAAGCTGCTCTCTGAGATATAATAGGCCTGGGAACAAAAAAGACAAATCCCATCAAAGTGACATCTAAGTCATCAAGTTAAAAAGACCAGGTCTTTATTATCAAAGCCGAGCTCACCGACTCCACAGAACAATCCAGATGTATTCCTGGACATCAGTTCTGCCTGCGGCTCCTGTGAAACGTGTGGTTTTAAAATACACACAATTCCGTCTGCATGTGCGTGGCTGCAGCACAGAGTAAGCCGTAGTATTATGGATTAATGAGCCCAAAGCTGACTTTTTATGTAGTTCAAATGAAAAGTCTACTCTGGTACGCCACTGGAAGTGCACCTTATGTAAGCGTTGCATGACAAACACGAAGATGTATGTATTCAAATGCAGAAATAATGACATAGCATCTCGGTGGAAAGATTATAGGTACAATTTACAGTAAGTAACGCTAGATCTAAAGTATAAATGCTGTTTAAAAAAGTGACTTACGTTTTTATTTTTTAACCCTGTAAGAATTCTGTCCCATGCCAGTCAACCTGTCCTCTCACCAGACTAATACACAGCCACGCTGATCCATCGTTAGCAGACTGAACAATGCTGACAAACTCCCAGTAGAATTTATTGCTAGCCTCCAAAACGCCTGAGAGACAGAGAGAGTGCATGTGCCTGGCCACAGGAGCGGGGATTAAACAGAGAGCGTGGGCGGTAATCTGTGTGCAGCAGAGTCATCTTCAGATGATGAAGCAGACGAGGAGAATGAATGAGGTGGCGTGAAACTGATCACTGTTGAAATACCACATTTAAAATGTCTATCGCACACAACCACAGAAATGTTCAAAGTGTCAAATATCAAGATATCAAGAGTTTTTAATATACATTTTTGTTCCCCTTTTGATGTTTTTTTTAGTCCTTTAATAAATTCCTGCTTTCAACAATTCCAGGTCCATATAAAACAGACAGACAATCAGTGCTGTCCTACCTGTGACATCAACAATGACTTGTCCTTTGTACCGGGGACACATCGTGGTCTGTCTCAGTGCATCTTCACTGGACACCGCACTTCCCTCAGGATTGGTGTAAAATAAAAGCAGAGGCTGAAAATGTCCTCTGACGCACTTCGAAGCGACGTCCTTCCATTTGGACCCGATCTGGGAGGAAGAGAGGTGTGATTTAGGAGCTGGTGAAAGGCAGTGGATGTTTTGATCCAAAAGAGGGATTAAATGTAAAGTTCCTGACCTCCTTTACAGTGGCATCATCAAAAAACATCCATTTGGAAGATTTGGTGTGATAGGCAAAAGCTGAGTAATGTTTACTGGAAAAGCAGATCATCCCAACCAGATGAAGCTCAGTGCGTTTGGCATTTTCATCAGTGACGCGGTTGAAAAGCTGAAGGAGAAGAAATTAAAGTTTGATCTTTGAATATACCACTCTGACAGACTCTAAATCCTGAGGAGGGACAACGTATGTGTCAGGTATTTACAAGGGATGTCCGATAATATCGGCCGACTTATATTAGCATAATTATGTGATCTGCAAGAATTGTTATCGTTTTTTTCTCCGACAATGAAAACCTGATAACACAGTGCTTGTCTTTGTCTTTCTGTTCTGGCAATAGACAACCCTGTCATTTTCAAATGTTGATTTATCTAGACTAAATTAAGATTAATCATCCTCGATTACCATCAGATGATTAACTAATCAGACTAAACATTTTATTCATTTGACAGTCCTATGGAAAAGCTTGTATGTAAATGTAACTTCCTTCCTCCATCTAACTAACAGCCACTCAGAGAGTTTCGTTTCAACTCACCCCACACAGGTTCAACCGTGGGCCGAGTGACCGTATGACATCATCGGTCAGGTCAGACTGCTCAGAGTCCCACACAAAACCAATAGTAACAATCTCTGGACAGTTCATGAGCACACGCCGGATCTTGATGCTCTGACCACAGTCACTCTGAGTTGATGTGGAGAAACACATGGAGAATCACAAACACAATGAATGTCTCGACACAAGAGGAAACTGCCGTCTGTTTACCGTTTACCCTACATATAAGAAACGTACGTAAGGAATTGATTTTGTCATGGTATAAAAATGCACTGATGTACTCATGACATACAGCACAACAGGAACATTTTTTTTTTTATAAAAATGCACTGATGTACTCATGACAAACAGCACAACAGGAACAAACAAACTACGGTGTGTTTAGATATTGTTGCTTCATGTTGCTTCATCTTCTTTGCAAAATTATTTCATTTTTAAACGTGTCCTTCTGTAAATGCATTTACACGTTTACATCTGCATCATTTATCAAAAAGGCAGTTTTGGATACTGCAGGTTTTTACAGGGCTTTAATTCACTCCTCTAATAAACAGAGAAGTGAAGACAGTGGCAGGAGTTACAGTAAAAAAAAGAAAAAACAGTAGATAAGCTCGGTGCTATTTATATCTATCACTCGTCTGGCACCGTCTACTTCTGGCTGCTTCAAGTGCAATGTCACAGAGGCACAGAGTAGCAGGTTCACTCTGCAGGCTGTAGTTACTAAACTCAGGCTTTGTTTTTTCTTTTTACTCTTTTATTCCTTTGAGAATAAAAAATAATTTAATCACAGTGAACAACAATCAACGACATACCGGGCAACTTCGCAGGTCACCTGTGTTGTTTGCTGCCTGCAGCAGTTCTCCAAACATGTCCGACCTGAGTCGCTCGTTTTTAGCCAGGATACGCTCTACCTGTTGGCTGTTCAAAAACATAAAGAATAACAACCTGAAACATTTTTGTGCATGTTTTTTTTCCTTTTGATTTATTTGTTTGTTTTTGTTAGTCTAATCTTAAGAAGATAATACAAAGCTGATCTGCTATCTGTGAAAAGAACATTTACTGGATATGTGGCTGATGTTCTCACCATAAAGCAGTGGTTGAGACATAGTGGACAAATTCTGTAAATGGGTGTGGATCAGAAAATGCACCACAACAGCGACACACAAACTGAAAAAGAACAGAAACAATATTTCAAAATTAAAGCAATTTTTACACCAAAATGTCATCCTGAATGAGCCAACTACAGCCACTGTCTAACTATTATGGGTACTCATCTTGGACAAACTGCAGTAAAACCAATCTTTAAAACTACTCAGCTCACTTACCTGCTCATAAAGCGTCATTGCAAACTTCTGGTGCGTGATACAGGATTTGGACGAACAGCCGTCGGTCACTGTGTCCGACACTATGTGTAAATGTATTCGCTCCAGAATGTTTTCCTAACAGAGAAAAAAAAATTGACACTGTTAATGGACTCAATAATTAACAGACTTAATTAGAGAAGACACATCAAAACATACAAAGGTGCTGTTAAAATTAGCCAATCACAGTCTCTGCTTTAACATAGCATGAAATAAAAGACAAAAGATGTGAAAAAAAGTAGAATGTTTAGATACGTCTATTTTACTATAAACTGTTTGCTATTTTCTTATTTAAATTTTTTTTTTCAATTTTGTGTTTTATATTTTAATAATACTTTATCATGTCACACACATACCCACTTCTTCTTATATCGACCTAAATGATAAAAGATGATGACTTTGAGTCTGACTCAGGGGAAACCGTGTCGATAAAATTTTATACAGCAATTTTGTGGAATGGTTTTAGTGTCAACGTACAAAGCACTCAGCAGCATCGTCCATCAGGCCCAGCTGAAAACGCTGCTCATCCTTAAAGGTTTCAGCCAGGGCGTTACGCAGGCTGTCAGAGGGCAGTACACGCTCCCTACTCTGTTGAAACTGGCTGAATATACTCTGAAAAAAAAACAATAAATATCAATAAAAAAAAAAGCGACAACATTCAGAAAGCACAAACCGACTCCAGTTAACAGAGGTGAAACCACAGACCTTTAACGCACAGAAAATGCAGGCGTCGCCCAGGCAGAAGTGACCGGAGAGCTGCCTGAAACTTCTCCTGAAAATGTCCAGCTGCCACAGCACCTGCCAAGAATTCACAACAGTAGCTGCTGAAACCAGGAAACCGTTTATTTAAAGGTTTGGAAGATCAAACAGTGGAAACAGGTCATTATGATGTTGATTTCAACCGTCAAGTAAATACTTCAGGGAGTAGAACCACGAGCAATGCTGCTGAAACAACTGAAGATGAGTGAAAGAAAATGTCTGCTCCTAGTTAATGACGTGAGTATGAGATTAATTAAATGAGCTACAATACTGCCATCTAGTGACTGCTAAAACATATACAGCCGTTTATCCCCAAAACTATTTTTAGAGCACACATCTTTTGGATCTTTTGGACCCAAGCATTTTGTTATCGGGTTTTAATGATCGACTAAAACACAGTTAGCCTGCAGTAAAAAGCCCCAGTGGCCTAATGGATAAGGCACTGGCCTCCTAAGCCAGGGATTGTGGGTTCGAGTCCCATCTGGGGTGGAATACATGTCAGATTTTCTTGCTGTGATCACATTTTCACAGGTAGGAAGATGAAAAGTACCAGAAAAAAGTGTCCATCTAGATTTAATGGATGAAGCGTCGTCAATCTAGATCACATGTGTAAATAATAAATATATAATTAATCGCAGAAACATGTATTAATACCTCAGCTATGAAGTCTTATAGTCACTACCAGCTCTTCAAAGGAAAACTGTATCGCTGACGTGGCCCCCCCAGGTGAAATTAAGTTTGACACCCCCTAATCTAGATAATCAATTCAGCCTGGTACATTACATTTCAACAGCCTGTTTATAAAGTTGATAATGTCAGTGTGTTTGTGTGAGGGCAAGTGAGATATTAATGAATAATTTTACATCATTAAATCACAGCTGGAGATGTTAGAATGTGATAATGTTTATTACCATAGACACTGAGCTGATGTCACTGTGTTTACTGACATACTGACATGCTCATAGTCAGGTGACTTTCAAATAAATTAAGATTGTTTTTGTTTTTTTTTCCAAAACAAAATTAAGTTTTTCAGATTCATTGGAGTGTATATGTGTGTACACGTGTTTGTGTGGTGACATCAGTCGTTTAAGGCTCCGTAACAACGTGTCCGTAAAATCTCACTGACCTGCACTGCACTGTTTAAAAAGCAGCTGTTCTGTCCAGGCTCATTCAGCAGGCCTTTAGAGAGTGCCAGAGACAGCATGCTCCCAGGCTGGTAGGACTTCTGCAGACCTCCGCCAGGTTTTTTGAACATCTTCACCCATGCTGTTGAGTTGGAACCTGCAGCTAAAAGAACATGTTTTTTGAACATCTTCACCCATGCTGTGGAGTTGGAACCTGCAGCTAAAAAAACATCAACAACAATCAACAAAAAGTTGGAACCTGCAGCTAAAAAAACATCGACAACAATCAACAAAAAAATCAGCTATTGGTTTTTTGTTTTGTTTTTTCAATTTAATAAGTAATGAGTAATTCGTTAGAAGATGACAGAGGGAACATGTCGTCTACCTTCTCCAGGGTTGGAGGGAGCTTTGCTACAGTTGGACATGCTGGGAGGTGGAAGCTGCTACGACTGTGTGTTCGTGGGTTTTCTCCATCTCACCGCCACACATCTCCGAAGCAATTGATTGAAAACATGAAGATCAGCCACAGGGGAGCTTCAGCCGTGTGTTACTGGACATTGAACAGCCAACTGAGCGCACTCTGTGGATGAGCGATGAAAAATGGTGGCTCACAGCTGCGCACACACGCACACACACCGGTCTGCACCACGATGCACAAACTGCAGAAGAATGGATCAAAGAGCTGGAGCTATTTCCTGCATCTGAAAAAAAAACAAAAAACAAAAAAAACACAAGTTCAGAGCAAAGCATTTCTGAGGAAGGCTGCTGAATAAAGAAAATATAAACTAAAAATAACACTGTTTGAACCACATTCTCACACTGTACCCTGAGAAACAGCCTCGGATTAGGAAAATTGATTAAATAAATTAGCACATGCTAAACAGAGAATAATATTTTTTTTTAAAAAGTGCATTTTTATTTATTTTTGACTTTATAAGGTAGTACTGCACATGTATGTATGTGATTTTACATTACATTATTATATCATTTTTAGAATTATTTATATAGTGTTTTATTTTATTCAATTTCAGCTGTTCTTATTCTACTCTGGTACATTCCACTGTGTGAATTTCTCATTATTTACGAGTGCATGCATTCAACAGAGCAGGTCTGTTCACACCTGAAACTGAAGCTTTGTGGACTCTGCTCTCTGCTTTTTTGAAATAATTTTGTTATAAGTAAATAAAGAATAATTTGGTTATATTGTCCTCAATTTCATCGAACCGCCCCCTTTCCCAGGACATAGACAATAAAACCCCTTTTATTACACTATTTATAAGCGAAGTTCGCCTTTATATTACATAAAACAAAGCTTAGAGTCATAAAGACGAGCAGCATTGGTAAATTGTTCGAAAGCTGTTAATTTATATGCGACATTACATGTAAACATGACATGTCATCACCTCGTTAGGCTTTAAAAGAAAACAAATGTTGACGTTTCAGTGACTGAATCTCACTCATTTACAGACACAGTGCTTCTATTCCACTGTTTTTTTTTATCTTTAAGCATTATACATTGAAAATATAAATGTAAGTTGACGTGTGTGTTCATGCAGAAAGTCCTGACACCACATGATTCATCCTATGGTGTAACAACGACCATCACTGCCGTGTCAGGTTCAGGGACAGGACATAAATCGTTTATTGAAGCGGTGTTTTATAACCAGCCTGTGTTTTTCTGTTTTCTGCCTGAAGCCAAACAAACAAGACCACAGCAGCAGCAGCAGCAGCAGCAGCAGCAGGCGGGCACTCTGCCAGTCACTGCCTCCTCCCCTCCACCACTCAACTCTATGTATATAAATATGTACATATATACATACACACACGGGAGGGAGGGGGGGCAGCTACTGTAGCATAAAAATGCCGCAACTTACATCCAGGCAGTGGGAGAACAAACGCACTCACCTCCATTCACCACTCCTCCTCCACGAAGGCGTTGAAAATGTCACCAGTTCTCGGTCGGAACCTGCAGTAAAAGTGTCTAAAAATGACTGCAGATCCGTCCCGACTCACGCAACGCACTCTCTGCTCCAGTGCAGCATTGGCCAACCTGTCCGAGCAGCAGCCGTTAGCCCTGTAGGGTCAGTGCACGATGCCGCACACAGCAGGACGGGACGTTGTTGTTGTTGTTGTTGATGTTGCTCCTGCTGCTGTTGGTGTTGTTGTTGTTGATGTTGCTCCTGCTGTTGCTGCTGTTGGGTTGACAAAACGGTCCGTTTCAGTGCGGGACAGGCTGACTGCTGCTGCTGCTGCTGGCCTGTGCCTGAACGTCCGACCGGGATTAGTGATGTTTCAAGACTTGAGAGGTCAAACTCCGCCCCTAGTGTCGCCTCCGGTGCACTGCCGGTGTGCTGCAGTCCTCTGTTCCCGTGTGGCTCCAACTGAGCGCTGGCAGAAGGTCAGGCTTCCAACTTGTCACGGCGATGATGGGAAAAGGACGTCACGTGACTGCGCTGGTTTCATAATCACTGCAGCCAGGGACTGAGAGCCTGCCTGTGTTTGGTAAATGTCGAGCAGTGTGACAGAACACTGTGTCATGTCTGCCTTTGTTTGGTGTTAGCAAACTGCAAAATGAGCACAAATGTGCCGCCCCGTGTTTGTAAACACAGAGCAAGTAGTTCCTCCACATCCCCTGAAGGGGGAGCTATAAAAGCAGGTCGTGTGCTCTAAATCATCAGCTGGGTGAAACCACATTAATTCTTATCCCTGTTACTACATCAAATTATTAACATTTTACACCGGAATAGGCACAAATATTTTAGCTTCAGCCACTGATTTTTCATCTACTCAGCAGCCAGAGAGGCACAGTTTGACAGAGTACTGTGTGACACGTTGTCCTTCAGTCTTTCTGATCAGCCTGTTAGTTTCATAATTAACGGCGCAGCACTCTCTCAAACTGCCGGGGGCTGGAGGGAGGGACGCTGCTGTGAGTTCACTAAGTTCAGCTTGTTGCTGCGCCGTTTTCTTGCGTGACACAAGTAAATTCTGTTCTGTGCGGTCGGGGTCTACTGTACCGCACAGGTGCAGTTCGCGACAGACATGTGTCTGTGATTACCACATAATTGTATTTGGTCTCTCTCTAATTGTGACTCGGAATTAGCAGTTGCACCGACGCCTCCCCGAGGACACATAACGGCGTCTTATTTTTGGAGTTTGTTTCATGTCTCTGCTCTCTCGCTTTAGCAGTTAGCGAAGTGTTGTACTTCGACAATGATCCCCCAAATGCTCAAACAAACAAACACAACATAATACAAACTCGGTGAAAGTAATCTTATCTGTTAGGGTAACATCATATGCCGTAAAAATAACAACACTCTTACCTTGAAGGCCCCTTCTTGTTGTCTTTGGTCTGCCTGACAGGAAATGACTTTACTTACCTCATTAAAACTCACCTGCGTTTGTAAAGGATAACACTTTTATTTTCTCTTTTTGAACTTTCTATTATTTTGTTATTATGTTATTTATTTTTAATCTGTCATGTTAATGGCAGTGTCTGATTCCAGGATGACTTGGAAATTTAAACATAATATAATGGACTGAAGGAAACAAACAAATAAACGCACGAGACTCAACCCACTGTGTGTTCCAGTTTTAATGGTTTTTGCCAACTATAAATAAATCATATTCTTTTATTTACATCTTTTCATTTGAACTTCTACAAACTTAACATTTTCATTAGGGTTTGCCGAGACTCTGAGGTTCTTGGGTTACTGTCTGCTTTTTTAAAAATGTTTTCTTGGTGAACTGTTTGTTTACATCTGTGTGGAAGAAACAACTGAAGAATAAAAGCGTGGCATTGGTGGCATGAACATGGTTTCTAACTGGCCGACTCCCTGTCATCACAGCAGGGTATTGTTAAATCGTCTACAGGTCGTCAGACTCTGGGACCTGGGCGGGCTCCAGGACTATGGTGGGTAGGATGAGGTGGGTGCCCTCAGATATCCATCCTTGGGCCGTCCTGTTGAAGGTGGGTCGTTTAATCCCCGGCTCCTGGAGCTCTGGGTATCTGGGTGGATTCAGGTCTATCTCCGAGAGTTTGAAAGTAATTCCCCTCGGAGCTTTGTCAAAGCCCCCGAAGGGGGTGGCAACCCTGCAGTTTGAAACAAAGTGTCAATAAAGAGTGTTCTTAATTTTTTTTAAATTTTCTGCAGTTTGAAACAAAGTGTCAATAAAAAGTGTCAATAAAGTGTTTATCTGTTTATCTGAGACTGTTTTCTCACCGGTTGAAGCACTTGTATTCAGGCAGCTCTTGTCGTGATTCTGGTGTCAGCATATTTAATTTGAGAGTTTCTGCAAGTTCGGGGTCGTGGAGAATGGCCTCCTCCCAGGGAGAGTGATAGCATTTGTGTGTAGCTGTAGTGATTACCTTCTCTGCAGTGACATCTGTGAAGAAGAGATGGTGGCAAACAATAGCATATGACATCTTTTAGTCTAGTTCCCGACCAAGCTCATAACTGCCAAATGTTGCCCAAACCCTAATTTCAGGGTCAATCACGGAGCCGAAAATAAAGACAACAATTCACACTCACATTCACATTGAATAGGATTATGTGCTTATCACAGGCACACTGAGTTGTCCATCATTACAATCTGAGCTCTTAAAATAGCACATAGTTTGAGGGTGCAATCATACAGGAGAGGAAAGGAGAGGAAATGAGAGGAGAGGAGACAGAGACTAGTATGGAAGAGTTACGTCACCAGTTGGCCTTATTTGATTGCTGCTTGATGACATCATTTCAGCATCACCCATGGAACTATTGATTCCCTTTAATGTGTGCATTGCGATCATTACAGGGCAATCCAAACTGGGTTTCAGATTTCCCATTCCTGTGACACCACAGGTGATAATCAAGTGCCATATGAAAGTGTTGCCTCAACACAACATTCACGGTTATTTAATAGAATAAATAACAAATTGCTACATCCAGCAAATAGATAGAAATGTTTGTGCAACAGTGGTATTAATGTCAAATATAGAAAACAACACAAACAATTTGTTTAAAACAACAAACAGCAAAAATAAATGAGTTTGACTCATATTTAACACATTATTTGTGTTTAAAAATCTTTAAATTTTCAAGTCTTGTGAAAGACTGACCACACAAAGAGCCTCAGCAGCAGCATCATTACCTGAAACCTGGTTTTCTGCATTATCCGCCTCTCCACTAGTGGGCGCCTCCACTTTAATTTCAATAGTGTGTGCATTCTCAGCCAAAATGTCATTCTGCAGACAAAAATAAAGCACACACTCGGAATATAGTTTTTGGATAATGTTGTTTCATTGATAGCAGTCACGCACGCACACACACACACATCAACACACACTGATAGACCAGAGCAGCCGCTCAGGAGATCTGCTCTGAGAATGGAGGAGCCACGAGGCACATGTCTCTGTTATCAGTCTGTGTTGTAACACTTCTGTCAAGAACATATTTCCTGATAAATGCGCTTTGCAAACAGCACACACATGCACACACACACCCACTCACACCCACTCACACACACCCAGGATCCAGACAAATAAATCCGTACACTGTGACTTACATTTAGCAGGGTGTTCGCCTCATTCTGGATACTTTCAAACGTGTACTTGTCAGATCTCCTTTGTCGCATTTTAAAAAGTCGTGAACCTCTGTTGGAGAGCAACGACAGCTCCTCCAACATGATGTCTTTAGGAGTGCTCAGCTTCTTCCCCAGGTCCATCTTGTACTCTGTCAAGCAAAACATTTGGGATGCTCAATATTACCACGGCAATTAATCAGCTGATAAATGACTCGAGCTGTGTAAAACTAACTGTATTCATTCACTAATGGGATTATTATTTCAGTTATTTAGTCGCATCCACACAATGTCAATGTAAACTCTGACACAGGAGCATTCATACGTGACATTGACCTTTACTGAATCTCCTCACAGTTAAATACAATTAAAGTAGTTGTTCCTCAGGGCACTGTACTTGGACCTGCTCTTTTTTCCAATCGATTTTTAGCAATAATGTCCACTCAGTTTGAATACTGCCCAGTAAATGAGACAAATACAACTATTATTATTATTATTAATAAAATCCAGTTAATAATTTTATAATTATTAATAATAATAATTCATTATTATTAATGACAATAACAGATCTTGTGATAATGAGTCCAGTCCTGACAATGAGTTTGCATTGACTCCAGTTCTGTCCACCAATAGTGACGGTATGACGGTACACCAGCTGTCACAAAACTTCACAGCTACACAGTTGGCCTCCACACACCCCCTTCACCCTCCCTCCAACTACACACCCATCCAGAAATAGCCATTTGTAAAGGACAACAAGGAAAGGAAAAAAAAAGGAGTTCACGGTATAGAAAATCCTATTCTCTTATTTATGGCAGGTGCTGGAGAGTAGCCATGACATTTTGAACCTAGATCAGAATGGATATTCTCCTGCTGCTGTGTGTATTGTTAGTTGAGCCTATGCTCATACCATTGATGCCATGGACCTCTTGGCAAATGGCAGCTGCGCACCTTTTCTTCTCCACCGCAGGCATGGTACAGAACTGTGACATTGTGGCTTTGGCTGGGCTCGCAGAACTCAGCAGGACTGAAATGATATACAGGACACAGGATGTACATGTGAAGAAATAAGAAATGGAATCACCCCCCTGACACCCGTCCCCTCCTACTACTGTGACCCCACGGAACATCAGAGGCCACTTGTTGACAGGTCGTAGCTACAGTGATCCCTAAACGTCTAAGGTCATTTTCAACCAGTTGTCGAAAGACAAACTGTTAAATCTGTTTTAGTCTCTTCGTGAGAAATATTACAAGACTGGATTTAATGAGACAATATAGTTACATGGACAAAAATTACAGCTTTGCTTTAATTTCTCCTGTTCCAATCACATTCACGTTGATATTTTTAGTCCATAAAGTCAATCTATCTTTACACTCGCATTGACGTTTGAGGATCTTCAGAACGGTAACTGCTCAGCACATCCTGTCTGACTTAAACCCAATTTCTTTCCCGATTCTCGTGCATTATGTAATCCTCTGTTGAGTTTGAATTTAACTGCATGAGATTAATGACCTGGCCAAAGGTCAAGGTGAATATCGAGCTATAAATTGTTGTACTCAACTAATTATAATAATTATTGAATTAATATTACCAACATCAAAACTATGAATATATTGATAATATAAGGTTAACCATGTCTGTTATGATTTACACTTGTGTTTAATATGATCATTTTCTATTAATATATTTTTAAATCACTGTGATGCATTATATTAGGATTAAAAGTATATAAAATTAATATTAAAATGTATTACAATCAGAGTAAAATTACTTTTGTATCACCTGCGGTAGGTTCCTAAAAAGACACCTATCAAACAGAATAAAAAAAAAAATTCAAATCTAAGGATCATTATTTTAGCTTCTTAAAACACTTGACTTCCTTTGAGGTCTAAAATACCATCAACATACTTCAGAGAGCATCTACAGTACTCTGCAGTACTCAGAACAGGCCCGGGGCAACGCGTCTCCGTACCTGCTGTGGTGTCCCTCAGTGTAACCTGTGTCCTGGAGTGGAGACACGGAGACTCACGGGTCGACCTGCACCTCGTAGTCTGTCCGCCCCTGATCTCGACGGGTTGCGTACGCACACTAAAGCCAAACAGTGAGTGTGTCCCTGTGTCTGTTGTCGCTGGAATGCTGCTTACATCAATTGGCTAAATTTAAACCTGCCAAACACTCAGGGCCACACATTCAAACACCACGGGCATGGATGGCAACCTGAGACACAGAGGGATGAACAATACTGACATAGTCCCGCTTTGGCTCTGGGATGGTGCATTGTTTTGGTTTTTTTATACTCATTTGAAATTGTTAAGAGTAGAAGGATACAGTCCTTCTAAAGTGTAGGTTAGCAGGTGTGGTTAGTGAAGTGACAATTCTTTCCAATCGTATTTCTAGAAATACAAAACACATGACAAAAACATGACATTTCCCTCCATTTAACTTAGGTTTTTTTTGGATTAATTAAAGAGTATAGATTTTGGACTTAATAAAAATGTAAAACATTTAGTATTTGGCAGGTTGTGTAGACTTTTGACGTTTCCCTTTAATTGTGACACGGTTGTGAAATGTAAAGTATATTCAACAGGACAACCTGAAATGAAATTTGAAGACAAAATTACATTTTTAAAATATTTAAAATTATTGGAAAAAATGAAACTTGTTTCTTGTTTATCTTTACAAATGATGCTGATTAAACAATACTGAAATCCATAGTAATCAATCATACTGTCATTTAATCAAACTTTAACTCAATTTCAAATGTGCTTCCTCACACTTGAAGTGTTATATAGTGTATATTTACTTGTATTATTTTTTACGTGTTATATAGTGTATATTTACTTGTATGTACTTGTATTTACTTTAATGTAATTTTTTTTATTTGTTGAACAGTGAGGAAGCTGAGCATTTCTAAGACTTTTAGTTTTTTTTTTATTTATTTACTCTGTGGGAAAAATGGTGGAAAACCAGACACTTCAGTAACACAGTGGAAAAATCAATGGCGAAATAACTGAATTATAGTATTATAACAAAACAAACTATAGTTCAATCAAAACACAAAAAAATAACACCAGCCTTCGTGGTCTGAAGAGCAAAACAAATATAAATATTATGTATTAAAAAAATTAAGTGCATATATATATGATATATATGTGATTTTAAACCCCATTTAATACTGATATATAGTTCAAACTAAGATGGCATCAACCATGTGGATATTTAGATGAGCTATAATAGTCACCACACGGGTAAAAATACTGAACTTAAAAAGGATGACAAAGCCACAGTTGACATTTCCCAGAGCCTCAGGTCTCACCACATGCTGTACTGTGTGGAAAAAAAACCCCAACACCACTGAACTTCAAATAATCCTTCAAATACTAACCTCACAAAACACCTAATTCAATCACATACCATTTAAATTTGCCTTAAATTATAGTTTAAGAGGCTCTCTCTCTCCCTCTAACCTGAACACAAAACACACAAATCCTATCAAATTAAATGGTCAACTATAATAATAAAACAACAACAACCATGTGCTCTTAATTTAAATATAAGTGGCCAAACAAACACACACCTTTCGATTGTTTTTCCCCCCTTTCATACGGCTTTGGTTTTCAAACAAACACACACCTTTCGATTGTTTTTTTTCCCCCTTTCATAAGGCTTTGGTTTTCATTTTTTTGGTGCTATGGATTTAACTTCTGTAGATGTGACAGTACTGTGTCAGACCTGGACCTGGACCCATGTATCCAAGGCTGCCCGCCCTGCTGGGAGGCCTCAGGGGCTGGGCAGGTTTAAAGGGAGGCCCATAGAAGGCTGGTGGTGTCTCAGGTGCAAACGTCCTGCTCAGAGACGGAGCCTGAAAAGCAGGGAGTGCACAGTAAGGACTCGTACCGACAGCTGCGGGATCAAGAGACACTCTGCGCCTCCACTCATCTGGAGGCTCTGGCAGAGATTTGAGCTTCTCCGCAGCTTTGACATGAGAGATCACAGATGACGGCAGGCTCTGAAAAACAAACGCCTCCTCCACTGAACCAATGGGGCTCCTGGACGCTGCCTCCCACGGAGACAGTGGCTTAGAGACGTGTTCTTGAACCGACGTTCGCCTCCGTGTGGGCACAAACGAAGCCTGGGCTCCAACTGAGCTCACTGTTGACCAAGTCATAGAATTCATACGACGGGGAAGACTCCGGGAGTAGCTGGGCTTAAATCCCTGAAAGAGAAAACACACGTGGAGTGATTAAGGTGACTGCAGTGAGCAGACTCTGCTGCCACCTTCTGGTTGACCCCTGAAATAATGATAAATATATAAATGTGCTGTTTGTACAACACTTACGTACTTATATAAACATCAACAACACTCAGCAAATGATATGACTGATATGAAATGATATTTATGACTTGAAATTTGCAATGCAATAAAAAAAGGGAATTTGAAGTATTTTAATATTTTTTCAAACTCTACTCTCACCGTGTCCTTTCCATCTAATTTAGGGGAAAGACACAAGAATAAATAATTAGCTTTTGGTCGTGGCACATTACTGTTAAAGTATTTACCTGTTACTGATAATAAAAAATCTTCTTATACTTATAATCATTCATTATAATCAACAGAAAATCAATTTCTGTCTCTTTCTCTCTATTCCTTCGTTTTTTTGTTGTCCATACCAGCATGAAAAGTTAATTCAGTGGTTTTCTTTTTTTCATTTAGTACTGTTTACAATGGAAACGACCTGTTGTAAGTTATTATCATTAATAAAATAGCTTAAATAACTTAAATTTACATTAGTGTGAATTATTGTTGAGGAAAATAATCCTAATCATTTGTGGGAGTTTAAATTTAAAAATCATGCAGTGAAATGGGGCTCGTGACCTTCTGCGGTTTTTAGCATTGTAACATATTTTTAACCATCGGAGTTCAGCCGTTTGTTGGACAGAGTATTGGCAGTGGATTCTGTCAGAGGTCTGAGGTCACAGGTGTGAAGAGTTGGTGAAAGACACAGAAGGAAACGCAGGTGGGAAAAAAGTAGACAGTGAAGTGTTGGACGAAAAGAAAGGGTTTTTGTCACACAGAGGAGGAAAGAGAAATTTTAATAGCAAGAAGTGCAATAAACAGTTGTAGTTGTAGTCTTTGTTCTGAAAATGATAAAATGATCTGAAAAAATTATATAAAAGTCAGACTTTTAAAACTCGCTGCTCGCTTTTTGTTTTTCCACAGAGGATGATAATGAAGTCAAATAAGTTATGACATCATTTTAGGATGTACCTCCATATAAAAACATTAGGATAAATTAGTGGGAGTGGGGGGCATTAAAATAAAACATACTAATAATACTTTTAGCCATTGTGATGCCAAAAAAGGTTTGGAATGAAAGAAATTACATCCAAGAAGTGCATAGACAGTTTCTCCCCAAACGGGCAAAAAAAAAAAAAAGAAAAAAGTAAAAAATGTTTTTTCCTAAAACTCCCAATAAACAGGGAGGGAATTGAACCCAAGTCATACTGTGATTTATACTGACTGGTTGTTTCATGTGATGAAGGGAGCAACCAAATAAAAACAAATAAATAAATGTAATTCTTATGTAAAAGGTTTTCAGTAAGTGGTCAGGAGTGATCGCAGCCATGCAAACAGTGGAGCCTGTGGAAATACAATAAACTGTCATGTTTAATCAATCTCTATCAAGTGATTATTGCCAGTGACTTTGTGTAAAGCCTGGGTTGATGCAGTGCACAGCAGGGGTGGTCAAAAATATGGTCTGCAGGCCAGAAATGTCCCATTATGTGGTCAGGAAAATACACTATATTATTATCATTACTAATATAGTATGCATATTTAAAATATTTGTTCATCTTGATACTACTATATTTCTTCACTTAAAAATTGTGGGTTCTATGTTTAAAAACAAAATGTCTTTTCCTTAAGAAGGTAAAATATGAGTTGACTAATTGTTTTATAAAATACTTCTGTGTTAAAAAAAGTTTTTTAAAAAAAGGTACGTTATCATACATTATAATAATATTATATTATGTGTGGCCTGACGCCTCTGTCTACACATTTAACCAGATTAGAACAAACATATTTGATTTATCTTCACTGTTGGTGAAAGACACAGAAGGAAACGCAGGTGGGAAAAAAGTAGACAGTGAAGTGTTGGACGAAAAGAAAGGGTTTTTGTCACACAGAGGAGGAAAGAGAAATTTTAATAGCAAGAAGTGCAATAAACAGTTGTAGTTGTAGTCTTTGTTCTGAAAATGATAAAATGATCTGAAAAAATTATATAAAAGTCAGACTTTTAAAACTCGCTGCTCGCTTTTTGTTTTTCCACAGAGGATGATAATGAAGTCAAATAAGTTATGACATCATTTTAGGATGTACCTCCATATAAAAACATTAGGATAAATTAGTGGGAGTGGGGGGCATTAAAATAAAACATACTAATAATACTTTTAGCCATTGTGATGCCAAAAAAGGTTTGGAATGAAAGAAATTACATCCAAGAAGTGCATAGACAGTTTCTCCCCAAACGGGCAAAAAAAAAAAAAAAGAAAAAAGTAAAAAATGTTTTTTCCTAAAACTCCCAATAAACAGGGAGGGAATTGAACCCAAGTCATACTGTGATTTATACTGACTGGTTGTTTCATGTGATGAAGGGAGCAACCAAATAAAAACAAATAAATAAATGTAATTCTTATGTAAAAGGTTTTCAGTAAGTGGTCAGGAGTGATCGCAGCCATACAAACAGTGGAGCCTGTGGAAATACAATAAACTGTCATGTTTAATCAATCTCTATCAAGTGATTATTGCCAGTGACTTTGTGTAAAGCCTGGGTTGATGCAGTGCACAGCAGGGGTGGTCAAAAATATGGTCTGCAGGCCAGAAATGTCCCATTATGTGGTCAGGAAAATACACTATATTATTATCATTACTAATATAGTATGCATATTTAAAATATTTGTTCATCTTGATACTACTATATTTCTTCACTTAAAAATTGTGGGTTCTATGTTTAAAAACAAAATGTCTTTTCCTTAAGAAGGTAAAATATGAGTTGACTAATTGTTTTATAAAATACTTCTGTGTTAAAAAAAGTTTTTTAAAAAAAGGTACGTTATCATACATTATAATAATATTATATTATGTGTGGCCTGACGCCTCTGTCTACACATTTAACCAGATTAGAACAAACATATTTGATTTATCTTCACTGTAGTTCTAACGTAAGCAGTGGGGGGGCGATAGACTGTATTTGGACTAATAGCTCAAAGCAACAGGCCTCCACTGTTTGGCCGCCACCACTGGCTTCTTAGCAGAAAACCTTGGACGTGGAGCCATTTGACGTGCGCCCCGAGCAATAAGAGAAGCAGGAGAGAAGGCCAAAGCTATGCTGTCAGCAGAGGAGGTCCGCGGGGAGGAGGTCCGCAGGGAGGAGGTGCTCGCCGCTTTGACCTGTGATGCTGGCCTGTTGGTTGCGTGAACGGCTGCACGAGTGACGGTGTGCCTTTCATCCAAACGCTGCCCCGCAGCCACACGCTCAGCAGATCTCGTGCTCTTGGGGTAGAAAGAATTTTGAGAACTTACCGGTACGGGAGACTTGGCCGGGGCTTCAGCCCTGACCTGAGCCACGGGCCCAGGGGTATAATAGGGAGAATGGGAGGAGGTGGTTTTTTGTTTAAGGGTTTTGGTCGCCTCAAATTTCAACACTGGTTTGGGGCTGGGGGTTTTGACCTCAGGGACTGCGTCACACGTGAACAGTGATGAGTCTAAGTGATGAGGTTGGTGTTTGACAATATCTAAGGTGTTCAAGTGCTTTTGTGGTGCTTTGGGTTTCTCTTTAGTCTTAGGGGCGATTTTGGTGATTGTGGGAGGAGATTGTTTGGCTGCTGAAGGGTGGTAAAAAGGAGAAAGGAGTGGGTTGTACGATAAAGGAGGAGGGGCACGTACGATGGAGGAATACCTCCAGGAGTTGGGAAGGGAGAAGGTTGGGGAGGGGGATCTTCTCTGATTGGCTTGCACCGTTTCTTCATCCACAACAAACTTTTCCATTCGAGATTGTCTTTTAGCAAACAGCTCTGCACCTTTCCCCGTCATGGTGGAACCATCGCCGGGCTCATTCACACCTCTGTTTGAGGCTTGGAACTTTGGGGAGGTATGCAGTGCTGCTGATGGCTGGATATGTGGCTTCGCTGTTTGTGGGGGACAAGAAGCGACCGAGGTCGGGAGGCTGTAGGCCTTCAGTCCTGAGGATGCCGGTGGCTGATGGGGTCTGTAATCTGAACTCTGGGCCTGTGTACTCACTGGGGATCGAGGCAGCTGCTGGTTGAAGCCAGTTGAAGTCAAATGAAGGTGGCGCTGAGAAGAGGCGTTGACTGGAGCCCAGGTAGTAGCAGTGGTCTGGATTGGTTCCCAACGGTTGGCTACCTGTTGTGATTGGCCCCTATCCTGCTGCTGGCTGTGAGCCCCCCCTGAACTGTGAGACAATCGTGAAATTGGACTTTTTGGTGCAAGAGGTGGCTCAACAGTGGGACTCCTCCTCAACCAGGGAACACTGGATGGATCAATTGTAGGTTTGGGGGCAACTGGAGGTGGATTCTTGAGTTTAACTGTTCTCGGTTGCATGAAGTTACAAGCCTCTGCTCCGAGACTGAAACAGTCCTCCTCTGACTCGATGTAAGACTTCCTGTCCCCTTGGCCTTGAGGATGGGAGCCTGACACTCTTGCTGATGACTGTTTAGCCGGTCTCCTTCGGGACTCTGGTAAGATGCCGGCTTTGATCGCTGGCACACATATCCGCTCGTCTCTTGAAGCAATAATGTCTCCAGTTGGAGACCAAACGTGTGGACTAGGGACAGGGGGCGCGGGTGCTTTGAACCTTGGTTCGTTCCTCCTTATGGCAGGACTAACAGCACTAATGACAGGTGAAGTTTGGGCCCTTTGAATTCCTTGGAAAGGCTTTGCAGTTCTGTTTGGTACAAAGGGTTTTGGAGACATTGGCGTCAGTCCAATATCATCCCTGTAGTTCTGCTGCCTGTGACCTGCACCCACATGGTTGAGCTGATTAGCACTGGAGTGATACATATTCTGAGCTCTAGTACATGTATAACCTATAACTGGTACTCCTTCACTCCTCATTTTTTCCTGCTCCGACGCGATGTCATCCAACCTTTTTCGGCGCTGGGCAAACATGAAAATTCCTTTCCCTCTTGTTTCTGGTAGCACTTCCATTTCTCCAACACTTCCCCAGGTCAGACTGAGACTCTGCTGCTGGTGATGAACAGAATACTCCTCCTCTGACTCTGAATCACTCGTTGCCAGAAAGTTATATCTGGCTGAGCTGACTTCTTCAGTTTCCTCCTGTATTTGGTCTTCGCTGTCAACCTTATCACCAGTCCCGTAACTCACGAGCGTGTACTTCTTGACCCTCTGGCAACGCTTTTTAAACAGCAAGGCCGCCTTGCTCTGAGGATCGGGTGCATCAGTGAGAAGCCGGGCAATTTCCTTACATTTAGCCTTGGTTTCCTTCAGTCGTCTCTCTGACGGGCTCTCTCTGTGACACAGTCCTGGAAGGAGATAGAGTGAGAATAATAGGAAAGAATGGAAACAATGAAAAATAACACTCAGCGTGTCAAAAACGTACCATATTCAACATTAACTAAGTCACTCAAAATATGTGTGGTTAAAAATTAAAATGCGTAAATGAGCCCCTGATATTTCAAATAAAGGGCCTCAATGTGGAGGCAGCCATCTTGTGTTTCTACAGCAGAATAAATAGAGATATGTCTAATGTGAGCTAACATGGCAGCTAACTGTACAGCGAGGAAACATAACTCTGATCCAAAAATAATGCCTGATCTGACAAAAAAAGTCGAGGAAGAAGATTTTAGATTTTTAAAATAACGCTGTATTAACAGAAGAAGAAGAAGAAGAAGAATTTTGGAGGTGAAGAGGTAAAAATGGGCTTCAGTCCCGTTAGAAGAAGAAGAATTTTGGAGGTGAAGAAGTAAAAATGGGCTTCAGTCCCGTCCCCACAGTTCTGAAAGTCCCGCAAAATAACAGATTTGAAATGAGTGATTATTTTTGTTTTAATTTAAGTGCATGTTGACAGATGAGAACCAGAGCCCAACACAGTAGCATCAATTTAATTTAAATTTAAAAGTTCTCAATATAGAAGCCAGCGCACTAATAAAAGCATCATATTCACTTACAGCCACCTTGAGGGGTGAGGGGGGGGGAGGGGGATTGTGGGAGACAGGAAGAGTGAGAAGCTCATTTTCCATGACTGTCAAGGGTTACGATTGGAAAAGGGATCCGGTGACGGAGGGAGACACATGCTGGTGTCTGTCAAACGTGTTTCTGTCACTGTCGTCATATGGTTAGATTTTATTCTTGTCCTTCTCTGTCCATTACATTCTCCCTGAATGTCCACCAGCAACAGAAGACAGCAGGAAAATGAACCAGCAGCCATTGTGATTTACACAGGTTAAAAACTCTTTTCTACTATTTGCAGATTTTTTTAAATGCAGGCAATTAGTATTTAAGGTCTAAATGTGCAATACGTGTTGAAAGAGAGAATAAAACTGTATTGATAAACACATTGAATATTTTGTGAATGATTAAGCTAATCATCTCGATCATCTACTGAACTCCATAAGAGGAGGTGAAACAGATGAATACTTACGTGCGTGTCGTTCCCTGGGTCTGCCTGGTCTGCACAGATCTGTGTCAGACCCTGAGTTCCTTTTCTCTGCCTGCTCAGCAGCCTCTGAAATTTCAAATAAGACAGAAGCAGGAGGTGCCTCTCCACTCCCTCCTTCCTCTGAAGATTCAGGACTCCTGTTCCCACTCCCTAACTTTTGCCAGTTACTGGCTCCCAGTTCTGGCTCCCCCGTGTCCAGGGTCAAGGTCAGGGTCATCGCAGCAGTGCAGCAAAGGGGTGAAGACGAGGACGAGGAATGCATCTGTGATTTCTGCCCAGAATAAAGCTCACAGTCAGCGAGGTCTTGGTCTGGAGCGGGGGGAGACCCTGTGATTGACTCACAGTCTGAAACATTCTCTGCATTTTCACTCAGTTCCCAGTCCCCTGACTGAAGGGATTCTAGAGACTCAGACCGGTTCTGATCATTAGAGTCAAGGACAGAAGGTTCCAGAAAGCAGTTTGAATCTGAGCTAAAGACGAAGCAGTCATCGGTTTCTGGGTCAGTCTCTGGTTCCATTTTCAGCACTGTTCCAATATGTTTCACAAAGGCCTCAAATCAGCAACGTCACCTGAAAAACAGATTCAAGTCTACTTTATTCAAATGCAGAGCTAACTTATGACAACATTGTACCAAAAAAAGGAAGAGTTTTTCTCTATTTTACAGGTCAAACAAACTGTGTTAAACTAAATCAGTTTACACAAAAAAAACACACATTTACCAGAGAGGCAGATCTATTCTTCTGTTAATTAATCTTTCATTAATATGGAAACACCACAGGACTAATTGATGCAGTTTTACAAGTGACACTTTTGAAGAGGGCCACGGACATTTAGCGGAAGTCATTTAAAATTTAAATATCTTCATAATATTATAAATTGTATTGTACAATTTTTGAGGATCAGCCTCAATAATTTACCATCATCACAAAGTCATGTGCCAGACTCCATCTTCTCTCCTTTTATACACACTGTCTGATGTCCAATGAAACCTACTCAACAAAGAACTTCCCAGAATGCAACATGTATAAAGTCTAAAGATTTAGCTTATCTCTGTCACAATATACGTAAAAGTGGTACTGTATTGAACCCATGTTCAGTGAAACCACCAGAGTTCTACATCTGTGTGTGTGTGTGTGTTTTAACTTGTCTAACTTTGTCAATCTCTTTATTATTCCTGTCCCCAATAGGAAATGCAGCGTTGGAGTTTTGATCTGGGCGGCCAGTGCTCTAAATGGAATGGTATGTAGCATCGAGGGGAAAGCAGCATTAGCATCCAGAAGTATAAACAAAACAAACCCATGGCTGTTTTCCGAACCCATGTTTATACAGCGAGGTCTTGGGCCTTACTCTGGTCCACATCTATCACTGCAGCCAGTACCAGCACCGTCCTGGATCTCAGCATTTCCATTTAGGAACTAAATATGAGGCCATTCAAAACAATTACCTTCACTCTCTTCCCTTCATTGTTAAAGTGAAAAATGATTTCAAATGAGACATTTTGGCCAAACCAGGATCAAAACGCAGTCACCAACCCAATGTTAACTAAAAAAAAAAGTTAGCATTCTGACAATAAACATGTGAATTACTGTAGTGTTGTCCACATGATTAAATGTTAGCCCCTCATCATCATTCTTCAGCGGTTTGAGAAGCAGGTGGAATCTCAAGCCCCTAACTTTCATGTAGCACTTCCCAGGTGAACCAGAAGGTGGAGTCATTACAAAGATAATGACAATAATAAACTTTGAACCAAAATATAGATATGAGATTTTATATGTATTTTAGATATATATATATATGTACTGTATATACACACACATATACCATACAAACATTATATATGTGGATATGTATGTGTGTGTGTGTATATATATATATTTATACATATATACACATATATACCATATAGTGTGTATGGTACTCCTAGAAGTTTTGTTGTTAATCAACTATTTATTACACTGTTCAGGTGTAACAGTAACAGAGACCTCTTGTGGTCATTGGCTACAACATCAGTTTGATTATTATTACTCTTTCAATTAGACCATGGCATACTAATAAGTCTTTAATTTCACATACTACACAGCACAAAAAAAGAAATGTATCAGTATGATTGTCATTATGACTATATGGGTTCATTGCTTTTGAAAAGAAAATAAAAAAATAACATGGTTTATGTCAAAAGACCATTAAAAAGAATGTAATAACTTGACAAGTTACCAGGATATGTTTGAGTTTTAATAATAAAACCATTATACGTATTTAGAGGTGGTTTGTTTAATGTTAAGGGTGGTTTTAACCGTGGTCCTTTACTGTTCATGTATAGGCTCCTCTCTCTGAGCCTCGACTCACCTCAGTGCTCTCATCACACATGGTTTCACTTCACTTTGACATTTCTCCCTCATCAAACCTCGTGTCTGTTCTGTCGGAGATGCTGTTGCCAACTATGGTAATAATTCCAGTCTAATTGCCATGGAAAGTGGGAGTCAGGATCCCCGTCGGACCAGAAGGCCTCGGCCCTGACGACCCTGAATCATGATCCCTTTAAGGATTAAGATCTAGATGTTTCCATGTGATTACATAAGCGATCACGTGCTTTAATTATTCCTTATTACCTCAACAACCTTAATTAATGAAGGTTGAATATAATCATATACATGTGTAATACCAGCCATGTAAGGAGAAGTAAAAATGTTTTCGCTGATAACAAAATACATTCTCTGCATAAAGTAGTTTATACAGTTTTTAAATTATATGGACATGGCTTCAATTTTTTAAATTTATTTTCATCAATATAAATCAGTATAAACTGCTCTTTTACCCAGAGGAAAATAGTAAATATCATGTTAAATGATACATATAATGACAAATATTCCATTAAAATTTTCACATCTCGTATTAAAAGACCATCTAATCAACTACTCACAGTGACATTATTGGACACCGATCAAAGCAGAGAAGCCAAGTAAATTTGTCAAAAATGAACTTCACCAGTCAGTGTCCAACATCGTCAACTTCAGGTTCCTGGTCATCTTGGATGGAAGAATCAGACGGTGGAGGTCACAGTCCTGACTGCTCACATCGTAGTGATGCACATTCAGGCTTCCTGCACTGTTTAAGGAGAAGACAGGAGATAACTGTGGACAACCCCTCCTCAGACACACGTCAGTCAGTTAACACCAGGCACTGAGCTGCAGTCACTTTACAAAATCACAGACACAGCATTCAGTTAATAATAATAATAATAATAATAATAATAATAATAATAATAATAATAATAATAACAATAATAAATAATACCATTATTATTGTTAGTAGAAGTAGTAATAGTAATGGTGTTGTTGTTTGTTTGCAACAATAATAATGTTTTTAGACACAAAGTTCTTACTATTTTTCACCACTGGGTGTACTTTAAATGTTGGCCTGTAGGAGAAACAGTTTCCATTAACTTGCTGAAAATGATCTGCTTCGTTGTCAAGGTCATGTGGCCGTTCTGACAACGATGAGTTACTGTAGAATACAAATGTCAAAACATGTCAGTCAAATCGTGATCAAACAAAGGTCATTTGTTGCTGTTCCAGCAAAAAAAAGTTAATATATAAAAACTGTGAAATAGTTGCTCCTCATTCTTTAATGATTGACAAGTCATTCTGATTTGTAATGTTCTGTAGAGTTAACATCAAGTCACTGTTGCAGATTTCACACTCGCTCATCTGTCTGAGGAGAGAAACATGAAATTCGACGACATCCTTTCAGAGATCAATGGATTTGGAAAGTTCCAAATCATGTTGGTCTTAATGCAGATGTTGTCGCGAATCACTTTGCCCTGTCATTTTTTGCTGAACAATTTCATGGCCGCTGTGCCTGACCACCACTGTAACTTGACTTCACTGGATGATGGCGATGCCGTCTTCAGGAGTTTGACTGCGGAGCAGAAAGTGGCAGCCGGCATTCCAACGGAGAAACACGGCTCTCCGAGTTCCTGTCGCATGTACGTTCAGCCGAGGTATCAGAATTATTCGGGGAACAGCAGCAGTGAGGACGAAGGCAGTGTCCACTGTCAGAACGGCTGGGTGTATGACAACAGCACGTTTAAATCCACCCTGGCTACTGAGGTAAGATTCACTCTGTTTCATTTTTGTTTGAAAAGAGGACGATACGCATTTCTAATATTAACATTTTTAATATTTATATTTATTTTAATATACAGTATATACGGATTTTAGGCCCTTTAATTTGTAAAACAAATGTTAGGAAAACACAGTAAATATATATGTGTCAAACTCAAGGCCCACAGGCCAAATGCTGCCCCCTCCAGTTTAAACCGGCTCTTCGAAGGTAAGAGCTGTATTGCCGATGTGGCCCCCAGTGAAAATGATATGATATCACAGTACTCTCTAAACACTGAACATGGGTGAATGTCTTTCAGTGGGACCTTGTGTGCAGTAGAAAAGGAATGAACAAAGCAACGGCTACCATTTTCTTCATCGGCGTCATGGCTGGAGCCCCTTTATTTGGCTTTTTTAGTGACAGGTAAGAGAAGATAAGAACAGCGTTAAATGACCTGCAATTACCAGGTTTGTTTGTTTGTTTACAAGCTATATAATGTAAAACAATTTATAGACAAACTATATGAATAACAAATAACTAAACCCAATAGAAAATTCACAGTGACTTGATAACCATAGGGTCATTTCCAGTAAATTGTTTATGACTCTCTTCATCTTTAAGAACATTGATATTGAACTCTGATACCTAGTTGTACAGACTAAATTATTGACTAAGTGAAATAGTATTTATAGCTTTAACCAGGGAGTCTAACCTTGTGGGCCTTTTTTTTTTTTTTTGATCATCAGATATGGGCGACGACCACTTCTGCTGGTCTCCTATGTGACAACCATTGTGTTTGCGGCACTGAGTGCCTTCTCTACGTCATATGTAATGTTTGTCATCATGAGGTTTTTCACTGGGATGTCACTGGCAGGGATAACCATCATCTCTATAGTGCTGAGTAAGTATTTGACAAAAACAGACAGATTTCCCAAAGCCCTGGTTGAATGAACTCACTCCATCTCCTGTGTTGACTCATCTGCAGATGTTGAATGGTGCAGCATCGAACACAGGACCTTCGCTGGTATAATCATTAGTTTGGACTGGACCATTGGGAACTGGCTTTTGGTTGGAGAAGCGTATTTGGTAAATGAGTGGAGGATGCTTGTCCTTACGGCGACGTCACCCCTGATACTCGCTCTCATTTGTTGGAGGTAATAAGTTTTATATATATATTTTTTTGACACTAAATGTTGGCAGTGAACCTCTGAACGTAGTCTGTTTCAACATTAGGTGGCTGCCGGAATCGGCCAGGTGGCTCCTGGTGAAAGGGAGAGCAGACGCTGCTCATCGTTACATCATGAAATGTGCTGAGATGAACAACAGAACCAAGTGTGTGGCCAGTGTTACACCAACGGTACTGTTCGTTTGGTTTTTACCTTATTGTTCTAATGAACAAATATTAAAGACATTACTAAATAAATTAATCCATAATTTCAGCCATCAAGAGTCAAATCTGTTCATCAAAACTGACAAGGTTGCAGTTTTGCCCAGAGCAGGACATTCAAATATTTACTGTATAGCACCCCCTGCAGGGCAGGGTTGTGAGCTATACAAGCTGTGTTTAGTTACGCTAACCCAGTCACTGTAACTTTAAGTTAAAAAAAAAAGGTTATTTATTTAAGTATAAATAATAATCCATGAATGTGTTTTTAATTACTCAAACATTTATTTTGAATAGATTGTAAATAAATATGTTTTCAATGAACTTTTCACAGGCATTACTAGAATCTGTACAAACCAAAATGGGAGAAAAGAAGTACAGCTTTGTTGATCTTTTCAAAACTTCGAATATCAGAAAAATTTCTGTATGCTCAGGGATTGTATGGTAAGTGCAAATTTCATAATGTAGTTTTAATAATTAATAATTACAACATAATTAATCATTTCAAACCCTCATTTCTTTCCCCTGAATTTGAGGTACGGCGTTGCATTCACATATTATGGGATAAGCCTAAATATTACTGGGTTTGGACTGAACCCATACCTCACGCAGTTCATATTTGCCTTTATTGAAATGCCGATGAAGATTGGCGTGTATTTCTCCTTGAACAAGATGGGCCGAAGAAACTGCCAATCAGGGAGCCTATTACTGACCGGACTTTGTCTCTTCATCAACATGTTTGTTGCAAAAGGTTAATATAATATACGTACATATACATATATATGAAGATTATATTATTCAAATTTTAAATTTAAATAGCAGAGCGTATTCAGGATACATTTTCTGTCATCCCACACAGAGCTATGGGGCATTCGTACCACCGTTGCTGTTCTGGGAAAAGCACTTTCTGAAGCCTCGTTCACGATCATGTACCTCTACACAACTGAACTCTATCCTACAGTTGTACGGTCAGTCAACGTGTACTGTATATCGTCTGTCCGACTTATCAGATGTAAAGTAATTTGTTTAAAGTAACACCAGACTGTCACCTTTCAGACAGAATGGTCTAGGCTACACTGCCTTTTTTGCCCGGCTGGGTGTGTCTATCGCCCCTCTGGTCATGCTTTTGGAGGATGTATGGCATCTCCTCCCTCAGGTCACGTACTGTGCGATGGCACTGGGCTGTGGTTTATTGGCCGCACTCCTGCCTGAGACTTTGAACGTGCGACTGCCCGAGGTCATCGAGGATCTGGACAACCCCAGGTAAGAGGAAGAATGACTGGATAACGATCTTTCACATTCAAATTAACCACATGGAAATGATTAAACCCACAGATTTAACCCAGTACGGGCAAAAATGGTAACCACAGTAACAAACATTGTAAGCTTTTAGAAGCTTATTAATCATTTGCTGGCGTAAGAGACCAAAACTCTTCACGTAATTGATAGCTCTTGCCAACAATTTACCAAGACAATCACTAACGTTTGCTTCTTCTGTGTTTCAGACCAACAAGAAACGAAGAGCTTCAGTGAAGGTGCAGCCCATCGAAAATAAACTGCATGAAAACACGTCGTTCAATATTGAAAATGAGCGTTAAATAACATGGTCAAACAACCACTCAGTTACACTTCAATCATATCACAGATAATGTTTCTTACAAGATATTCAGAAAATACAACAAGAAGATCTCAGGTTCAAGTCCCATCTCCTACTCATGGTGTTTCAGTATGGAGTTGTCTACTGTTCTCACATTCAAATCCACTGATAAATGAAGTTCATGAAGGAGGAAAGGCTGGAGGGATGAACTAAATACAGAGGACTCATTTCCTTGTCTGTACATTAGCCTGTCCTTGGCACCCGATGATTTGTAAATAATGTGTTTTTTTTTTTTGTTTTCAATTCATTGATAATAAAATTTGAAGCAACAGTTTTGGTGTGTTAAAGTGAAAGTGTGAAATATGTGGGTAATATGTTTAAATGCAGCCTAAATGGAACACATTCAAACAACTGTGTTGGAACAGAACAGCTCAGGTCCACAGTTCAATAATACGGAAGAATAGGAGCCGTTGTGTGCTAGCTGCACATAACTTTTAGAAGAAGCAGACACTAAAGGCCTCCAGCCACAATCCTATGATTGATCAGAACATTGGACCCATAAGTGAACGAGATAGGGTTGGACCTGATGTGGTCACCATCTGTTGTGGCTCATTAAACACACATTCTGGACTTGTGACGGACGTCGTTTGTGTAAAGCTGTGTTGTTGTTTTTTTTTATATATTCAGTAGGTTTTTCTTACAAACCAAAGTTCCCATTGCTTTACAACCTGTTTGAAGTCTGAAATACTGGAATATGTTTATGACAAGTAAAGAAACAAAGCCATTTTCACACACATTTTAGTGGAAAGTGGAAAGTGAACTACTTGTCATTGTGACACAGCACAACACTGCACTCAACCAAATGTGACCTCTGACCTCTTTTAACCCATCACCAGAGTGATCAGTGGGCAGCTTTAAGCGCCCGGGGAGCAGTGTGTGGGCACGGTGCCTTACTCAGAGCACCTCAGTGGTAACTTGGCAGTTGGTGGACTCGAACCTGAAGCCTTCCGGACCCAAGTCCACTTTCTAATCCACTAATCCACCGCTGGCCCAGCCCGTGTCCTATCTTAATTATTATCTTGTTTTCCACTCCCATGGTTAAAAAGGTGAAATATTTGTGTATTTTAACTCAATGACACACTGGGCAGAACTTCACAAACACAGAGCAGCCATCGCATCAGAATGAAGTTTGAGAATGTTCTCGCTGATGTCAACGGATTTGGAAGATTTCAGATCATGATTATTGCCATCAGCTTCATAGGACGCTTCACGTTGCCCTGTCACTTCATGCTCAACAACTTCATCGCGGCTGTTCCCTCTCACCGCTGTGACATTAGCGCTCTGGACGATGGAGGTGTTTTTAAGAATTTATCAGAGACAGAAAGGCTGGTGGTCGGTATCCCACTGCAGGACGACGGGACTCCCAGCTCCTGTGTGATGTTTGCAGAACCTCAGTATCATCTGCTGTCCGACTCCTTCAACACCACTGAGCTTCCCATCGCACCGTGTCAGAATGGGTGGGTGTACGATAACAGCACCTTCAAATCTACCATAACGTCACAGGTATGTCTATTCGGATATGAGAACAACAATAAATGATGAGAAGAAAATATTTTCTATTATTTTATGAATATTTATGATGCAAATGATTGATTGATTCTGATACTGTTTGGGCAGCACAGAAGGCCTGGCTGGCTTTGACCGTAGGCCTCTATAAAAGTGTGTGGTTTTTATCCCAGCATTTTGTTTTGAAATATATACATTGTATGCAGAAAGTTTACATTGCATTTTCTTTAAGCTATCTCTTTATTTTTTGTTCAAGTGGGACCTGGTGTGTGAGAGAAGAGGTGAAAACAAGGCAACTGCTACAATCTTCTTTGTTGGAGTGATGTTCGGAAACCTGACATTCGGAAGTTTAAGTGACAGGTATGATCTTCACTAAATAAATCTATTAAAATACAACAGCTTCTCCGAGAATCAGAAATACAACGGACTCTTTCTCTGAAGGTATGGCCGTAGGATCATGCTGCTCGTCTCCTACGTCACCGCATTGTTATTTGCTACTGCAAGTGCGTTTTCTACATCGTACACGATGTTTGCTGTGCTGAGGTTCTTCACTGGTTTTAGCATTACGGGCATTATCATCATCTCTACAGTACTAAGTAAGTGTTCTATCATTTTAAAATGCAATTTTTAAAAAGAAATGATGTGCCATAATTGGCGGATGATGGGATTTTTTTTTTTTTTACTACCCACAGGTGTGGAGTGGGTGGATGTGGAGCACAGGAAGCTGGTGGGAGTTATAGACAGTTTATCGTGGACTTTTGGAAACGTTGTCTTTGCAGCTATAGCCTACTTTGTAAATGACTGGCGGTTGTTAATCATTAGCATCACAGCACCGCTTATCCTATCCATCGCCATCTGGAGGTATGACTCTGAATTGCTTGCAGCTAAATGAAAAGTTGTTTTTTTTACACATTTTTATAAATGTACTTCATAATATCTAATAATAATAATTATTATTGACATAATTAATAACAATAAGTAGGACCACTTGTAATCAAACACAGTCACAGTTGTCATGCTTAGCATCTTCTATGTACAAGAGACGTAATAGTCTCCTGTGCAGAACAGTCTGACTGCCAGTAGAAAGAGCCCAGGTTCTACTAGTTTTAAGTGAGCCACAGTTTTGAACCCTGGTTCATGGCTAAAAGTGTAAAAAAACCAACTGTCCATCATAGTTGTACCGTAGTAAATATTTTACAGATGCTTTGAATGGTATAAATTACTCAATATTCCTGTTTGATTCAAATTGAAATGTTTTGTAGAAATCCTGCATTAAATAACGGCAAATAATAAATATAATCACTTATCCCTAACCAAAAACTATTATTAATCATGAATGCCTTATGGATGAACTTCATTGTAAACTTCCATGTGACTAAATATTCCAGTCATCTCTTGCCTTTTTTTGCCTTCAATGCAAGGTGGGTTCCAGAATCTTCTCGGTGGCTCATTGCCAGAGGAAACCTGGATCAGGCGAAGATGTATTTGACCAGATGTGCCTCGATGAACCGCAAGGAGAGGCCAATACCTACACTTACAAATGAGGTATCTGAACGATGCAAGTGTTTGAAATTCGACCTTCTCTGTACTCTGCTGTTAACCAGTAATGCTCTTTTGGTTTTGGTCAGACGTTGTCAACGATTGTTGTGACAGAGAAAAAAGATCAAACTTATTCGTATATCGATCTGGTCCGAACACCTAAGATGAGGAAACTGGCCTTTAAAACCGGTTTGTTGTGGTCTGTATTTTTGAAGGTACATTATGTCCACATTGTGAAGGACACTAAGCTGTGATCGTGTCTTAACCTACTCGTTTTCTTTTACTTTGTCTAGGTTATGTATAGCCACTACCTTTTATGGCATCAGCTTCAACCTCACAGGCTTCGGCCTCGATATCTACCTTGCTCAGTTTTCCTACGCTGCCGTCGAGCTTCCAGCCAAACTTGCTGTTTACTATTTATTGGATAAGGTTGGAAGAAGGAGAGTTGAGGCGTCAGCTCTCCTGTTGGCCGGTGTCTGTCTCTCTATCAACATCGTGGTTCCTAAAGGTAGTCAACACATATGACTAGATACAGTATATGTAAAATGTTTGTTTCACTATATTAGAGAATTACAGATTGAATAGATGCAGCGAAAACAAATCTGACCTCCACTGAATGGTAATCAATGGTTGAGTGACTTTAGTTGTTATTTGATTGTAAAGCAAGTGAAACTTACTATTACACAATCACTAGTGTCTGATCTCTGAAAATGAACATCAGTTTTGGAAATTTTGTTAAGAGTAATATTGACGATAAATTGCAATAATTTGGATTCTGGTTCACTCTGTAAAACCACTGCTTACTGGACAGTCAGGATTTCAAGCATGTTGTTCACTCCTATCTTTATCTAGTACTGGGCGTTACCAATCCAACATTATGTTCCAAAAACCATTAAATTACCTATTGGATCTTGACTATAGTATTTTGCAGATCTGCCAATATGCCTAATTTTTCCGTTGACTTTTGCAGTGCAGCTCTAACTCCAGGGTGTAACTGACAGTTGGTCCTTTGGACTCCTAACCTCTTTAATCCTTCTTTCAGACCTGCCTGTCGTTAGAGCAGTGGTAGCAGTCGTTGGAAAAGGGTTTTCATCAGCATCCTTTGCAACAATCGTACTCTACAGCTCAGAACTCTACCCTACCGTTGTCAGGTATTTTACTCCAGCTATGTATATATATATATATCCTTCAACCAATCAAATACTAAAAATCTTAAATCCCAATTTAAGACGGTTTAAAGCGTTCTGTGCCGTTCATAAACACTGGGGGGCAGCATGGTCATGTTGTTAAATGTGCATTTTAGACAGAATGGTTTGGGCTACAACTCTTTCATGGCTCGTCTTGGCGTGGCTGTCGCACCGATGATTCTCCTACTGGACAGCGTGTGGAAGGATCTGCCACAGGTGGTGCTGTGTTCCACAGCTGTAATCGGGGGGATCATTGCCAGGACGTTGCCAGAGACTCGCAACAAGTTTCTGCCAGAGACCATAGAGGACATTGAACGGCCGACATCCACTGACATGAACCGACTATAGGTTTCTACATGTACTGCTGTAGGAATTTTGGAAACGGAGGAGGTTCATGTGTCACTAGATTCTCACCATTTTTAGCCAATGACCATTGTCGACTTAATTTATGTCCACAGACTGTAATACATTGTTTAATAATATTAATGAAGAGAACTTATTAAATTATATTGTGATTGTATATTATTTTCTTTTACTGCTGTTATGAGCGATCAATGCTCTGTGACAAATGAAGATCCTCGATTCTTGGAACAGTCTAAAAAAAGAATTGCGGTAGAAATGTAGTTTTTATTAATTAAATGCGTTAAGAAAATATAAACCATAGATTTATTTCTTTGCCTTTTCCTGTTGTTAGATATATTTTTAGGAAATTGCAAAAGAAAATGTACATTAAGAAAGACATTAAACCCAAGAACTGTGACCTGAAACTTGTCAAGAAATTGACCTTATGGTACTTCAGAATTTGACTTGTGAAAACATTTGCTTTCAAATGTTTAGACACCAAATACGAAGGTAACATAACATATTCTAATTATGTTTATTCTCCGTCTAAGCAAAAAAGAGCTGTTGGTTAGACGGAGAATAAACATAACCATAACGTGAGAAAAAGTTACACAACTCCAGGCAGTTTGTTGTTCTCAACAGTGGACACCCGCAGGTCATATGACTCAGTCAAATCAAACTCATGTAGAAATGTGCAACAAGAACCAACCATTGACATGGGAGTCAAACCAAACTCATGTAGAAATGTGTATCCAAATGCAAACAAGAACCAACCATTGACATGGAATTTTTTTACAGTCTATAGTCTGTATATATATATATATATATATATATAT